GTACGAGAATGCGACGTTCGGTCTGGAAGACCGGGTGTAGGCGACCAGTGGGTGAAATTCGTGGGATCAGTCGTCATGGTAATTGCGAAAGAAGAGTGACGCGTACGGTAACTCGACTGTCAGTGGTCGAGCGACTGAAGTGAATCTGCTTTTGGAGAAAGCCGATGAAAAGCGAAGCAACGGAGTAAAACTATCGGCTGTGCCAGAAAACTCTCTAAATAATCCTTTTGTTGTTGTAAATGCGAATGTGCAGAATCACGCAATTATATTTAACATTATTGGGAATATTTCATGAAAAATTGTGTAAATTAGGCAACACAATACGTGCTACCCAAATTAACATCTCTTAAATAAATATTGTTCTTAATTAAATTAAACCCATTATAATATATTTTTTTTTAAGTGCGGGGGGGGGGGGGCGTGCAATCTTTATCTTGGGCGTAAATTAGACGTCCACGATCATTTCGGGTTACCTTTCCTCTCTTGCTGACGGTGTGGAGCGCATCACCACGCGCAGTAACGCAATTAACATTTCTTGAAAATACGAAATTATTGGCGCGTTCTAGTTTTTATTTATATAATTCCTTTTGTGGAACAAAAAAAAAAGCGAAAAAAATGCAAATCCTTCGATTAACGTAGCCAACGTGCGCGCTGGCTAAGCCTCGCTTAATATGTAATGCATATTTAAATAAACACAAAAGGAGTGCGCGCGTGGATAACGTTAATCACCTCTCCCCTTCACTCTTAACTACAATTGCTGTATCCGCGCGCAATTGCAGCGTGCGACGTAACGCACACGAACTAAATATCGCCGGTTTGTTCCCGAGCGGATGTTTTACAAGCCAAACGCATTCGTCAGATATGATTCTACGAATCGCTGTAGCAGGAAAGTGTTGTTTCTTTCGCGGGGCATCGTCACGTCACGTCAGCGCAAGAGTGGCCAAATTTGATTTTTTTTAACTGTTTGTCCTTGGAAAGGGACCAGAGGTGGGTAGCCGTTCCTGTAGGAGTGGATTTTTGTTGATGGGAGAGGTGGGTGGGGGGAGGGAATCACGGCTAAGAAAAGAGGGGAAAAGGGGTCCCTCATGGAGAGGATCTTATTACACGTGAATGCACCGTGCCGTGCCACCATCTGGCTTCACGCTGGACGTTCATTGATGTTGCTCAAAATCCATAAAGAGCATTAGTATCGCTGTGATTCTCCGGCCGATGGTGCATGATGAAAATCCATGCTAAAGTGCTCAGCGTGAGGCCATCGAGGTGTATTTGTGCGTATTTTTACTCCGGACAAGGTGGCTATTAAATGTTTATTGATTTCGGTGCACGACACACCTGCTGCGCCTTTCATATATTGGCACAACATCATGGAGAAAGAGAAAAAGAAAACGCGTTTCAAAAACACCGGAGGCGATGGATGTTTGGAAGGCTGTACTAATGTTATTCCGGGGGCGCGCTAAGCCCCGGACATTATGTCGACATTAATCGAAATTATTTAGATTGGGTTTTTTTTTCTTCCTTTTTTTTTTCAAACCTTTTGTGCAACTATTACATGGCAGGTGACTCGGCCATTGATCGGCTCGCAATCAGAAGGTTGCGAGTTTAAATCCTGGATTCGCTATAAAAAAATAGCACCAGTTTGTGGTGAAGTCAACGGTAGTTGTGCTCTGCACAGACTCGCACCTGCCATAGGAATGTGGAATTTCCATCACTGGTTCCGAGTTGTAAATGGATAATGAGTGCTGCCTCAATGGTCATTTGAGCAGGGATCACTTACATTTATTGTACTACTCAATAGTGCTTTGATTCGACAGTGATGATGCCAATTTCTAAACTAATGAGATTTGTGAATATGCTGCAAGATATCCATTATCAAGGATATCAGAGTACCTGGATGTAAAACTTAATATTTTCCTGCACTGATTAGGTATAATTGTTGATGTGTTCGACAATTATTTAACAGAGTAATAATGGACAAATAAATACAAATTGTGAATTGTCTGGAAATTATGCAGTAATGACTGAAAAAATACATAACACTTGATTTTAAAATATTTTCTGATCTAGGGTGTGCAATTAAAACACATTAAAGTGAAAAGTTATTGTGTTTTTAATTGCGAAAATTACGTCGACTCATTATGTTAGGGCATGGGCTTTTCTCTTTTTGTGTAAACACATTCGCACGTCTTCTTGGTTCTTTCGGTAAAGTCACGTAGAAGGGAAATAATAAAATAAATAAAATAAACCAATAAAATAATTATCACGACGTTTCGGCCACAACGCAAGCAGCCGTCCATTGGCACGTAACACAAAAGCTTTTTTTATGTATAAAACAGCAAGGAAGAAATATAATGCATACGCATTCATTCTGTAACGCTTTCAAACGTGGTTATCCTTGTAAGCATAACATTTTTTTAAAATTATAAAACATACTATACATACCATCTACCTTCAATATGGAGAGGTGCATGCGATTTAGATACGTGACTGTTGACAAAAGGGATAACAGTGGCAGCCCTGATAGGGAAAGTGCCCAAGTGGAGGATCACCGTGGAGATGGAGTGGTTAAATCAGCATGCAGGTGTTAGTGTTAGCGGCTGCTGAAGATGTTGAGCAACGTTATCTTCCGAGTCCGCATGATGAAATGACGTCGCACAGCACATGGCACAACATCGCCAGGTCGCTGGGGTAGCTGTGCTCATGACATGTCACGTTACCGCCTTGGCCGAAAAGGCTTATTGATCATTCCCAATTTGCCCTGTTTATTCAACAGTGAGTCCCAATTAGGAACAACACCTTTGTACCAAAAATGTGTTTACAATTGTTTCATCTCTATGAGAGCTATCGTGAACCCTGCTAATCAGCCGATTACGGTGCACCCATTTAAACTGCTGGGTTGGACAGACGCGGTGGGGATTTAAAAAAGGTGCCCCTTATTGTTTCGACTGCCGTTGCGGGAGGTTCAAATCAATCCGGTGACCTCGGGATTGAAAGTCCAGTGAGCTAAGCATTGCACCACGGGCAGCATCCCGCTGGTAGTATTATTGGACAATGGAAATAATAATTACAAAAATAATTAAAATCATTCATGCATTGTGCCCACACACGCACACGATATTGATTATAGTTGTGCATACCGATTGGCTAATAGGGACAATGCGACAGAACCAGCATTGTTCATGGAAGCTGCTCTCCCCTATCATTTGTAGAAGATTGAATTTCAGCATCCTTTAATCAACACGTTAAACAATGCATTGAAAATTCGGGATTTTTTTTAAAGGGCATCAGAATATACAAAGCTGACCATTACTGTGTGTCAGTGTTGCGTTAGTTTTTAATTGTGATTTTTTTTTCAAAAACCCTGTGTAAAATAAATGATGGCAAGGGTGAAGCCCTGCAATTTCTTGCTTGTGCCACGGCTGGCAAGAACGGCCTCTACTCGAGAGCCATGTCAAGGCTAGACATCTTGAAAGAGGTTGCAGTACCCACACTTTACCCCGTCACACACAACACGACGACACATCTGTTTGGACAGAGAGTGGGTGAAATTGACGGAACTCACCCCCCTACTGCTTCGACTGCCGTGCCTGGAGATCGAATTGCAAGCGCGTTCATCATTTACGCCATTATACCGGCAGATAATTGTGGGAATGTGCAGATTGCAAAGCTGTATCTTCATTTGCAACTCCGATTAGCACGGTTGGCTACGTACGGTGCGAAAGAAGTTCAACAAACATACATACAGCGTGGCAAATTATATACATGCACTTGAAAGGTGAAGTAACAGGTTTGAAGGACGAAAACAATTCACTTGCGTCTAACTGAATGATTCGTTCACGGGAATTTTTAAAAGTATGATTGATGTCCTCTAATTTCTCAGCATTTCAACCGTCTGTTTCTGCAAGATAATTAAATAAACTAATAGGGCAATGCACACACACACACCACGTGCGCAAAAGGGTCTGGCTTTTACAATAAAATCAGACATTTAAAAGCGCGTGCCGAATTTTGAAATGAGAATAACGGAGCCAAGGGGGCCCAAACGTAAATTACGCACACACACAATGCTGATACAGCAGAGCTTGTCCATAGGCTGCACTGTAATGGCCGGCCAGCCAGGGTAGATAGCTTCTATGGCAACGGGCATAGACCGTGACCGTTTGGTTTCAGGGTTTTTTTAATTCATTTTATTGCAGGTTTTTTTTTGGTTTGTTATCGAAACGCATTACATATTTTTTGTTATTTATTTACTATTACAAGTGGAGGTTCTTATCCAATGTATATATTTTGTAACCATCGAATGGAAGTTGCGATGCATAAAGTTACGATACATTAATGCTGACATTTGGGATATATGCTCATTTGAAACTGATCTGGCAAGGATGATTTCGTTCCGAATACATTTCAAAATTATGTTTAATTCAAAGACGGTTAAAGTGTTTTCACTGGTGGGGTGGATCTTTCCATAACGTGTTGAAAATGTATTTTTTATATTTAACGCAGCGAATGTCATTTCAGCCTAACATGATGAACGCTGAAAACCTGACCCTCCTGACCTTGTCCAATTTCACCAATCAACGTGCGCTTCATTTACATCCTTTGTTGTGAATCCTCCCGTTGCGCTCTTAACCTCGCGTTTGGGCGGTGGCCAGGGTGGCTCGGTGGTTGACACTTTGCGCCTCGCAGCGGGAAGCGTCTGGGGATCGATTAACCAACTCGAGTGTATGGAGTCTGCATCTTCTCCCTCTGTTCTCCATGGATTTCCTCTGGTTATCTCCAGTCTCCTCCTGGAGCTAAACAAGAAAAACGCAATGTAATTGGTATTGGCCAAACATCCCAATGCTGAGAAATTGCCTGCACTTACTATTTTGGGATTCTGCGAAGACTTGGCAGGACCCTCCTGAAAAAGAGCATTGAGACTCACTGAAGTTTTCCTGCATATGGGTAAACAAGTGTAATAATAATGATAGTAATGAAATGTTTTCCTTCTTGTAATATTACAGGGAGAGAAGAGAGCATGGCCACCTTCAAAGGCTCAGAGTACCTCTGCTACGACCTGGCTGCTCATCCCATCCAGAGCAGCAGTGATGAGATCACGCTGTCCTTCAAGACCCTGCAGCGCAACGGGCTGATCCTCCACACGGGCAAAGCAGCAGACTACGTGAACCTGGCGCTCAAGGACGGTGCCGTGTCGCTTGTTATAAACCTGGGCTCGGGTGCTTTTGAGGCGCTTGTGGAACCAGTCACTGGGAAGTTCAACGACAACAACTGGCATGACGTCAAAGTAACTCGAAACCTGCGGCAGGTAAATGTTCGTGTGGCTTCGCAGGAGAGTGGCGGACAGGTGGCAAAGATGGACGGAGGAGACCGGCTCTCCTCGACGACGGAAAATGAAACGAGTTCATCGGCGATAATTCTATCATGAGAATTGTTGTCCTGTGTTTCCCCTCCTCCTTTGAAGGTCGACAGAGTTATCAAAAGTCAAGACGCTAGCCGGCGTTAAGAAGATATCTCAGAGTTGTTGAAAAGTAACATGTTTAAACAGGGAAAGAGTGGAAATAAAACGTCTTGAATTGAAGGAATGGTCAACATATATATAACAAAAAACATTACAGCGGGATACTGTGAACAAGATTAATTTATAAAACAAACCACGTTTAGAACAAACTTTACCTGTACTGACTTTGCTTGCTGTTGATGATGGAAAACATTAAAATAAAAATGTAAATACCTCAGATAACATTTTGATAAATCAGATTTAGATAGATCAGTTTGTCATATATTTAATTTCATGACCTGATAAAACTTACCATATGATAAAAGGAACTTCCCAATATAGCCACACACCAACCAGTATGAGATGGTATTTACCTCAGAAAATAGAATATAGGAAGGAGGAACCGCAGGAAGCTACTAACTTGCTTGATTTTATTGTGTCACAACTTTGTTTTTAAGACCTATTTTTTGGTCTGCTTTGTTCGTGTAGAATTTGGTTGCCTTACTTATGTGTTAACTAACATGCTTATTAGAATACTAACATAATTCATTCATGGAATGTGTCATTTACTAACCTTGACCGGCTGTTAACGTACAATACTAACACTTTATTGCCATCATGTTTTGAGTAACAATCTTTAAGTTCACAATTTTAATTTCCATTTTTCCTCCCCCTTTCTGCAAAGCTGTCAAGCATTGGACACGCTATGGTAAACAAACTACAGATTGTGGTAGATACCATTTTTTAATTGCCATTTGTTTTGGGTTTGCCTTGTGTTTGAATCTTCTAACATCTCTTGATTTCGTAGCTGTCATCTCCAATCAAATCACGCGCAACTGCCGTCAGTGCGTTCCGCTTACTTTTAAAACCCTGCAGCCATTTGTTGGTTTGGTTATCGTTTATTTATCTTGTTCTCGTCATGATTTGTTTCGTATATCATTTGACCTTTTTGTTGTTATGATTGCTCTACTAATACTATTATTTGTTAAATCGGTTCAGTTTAAACTAAGATGAATACAGCATCAAAGCTGCTGCATTTTAACAGTAACCCTCTGCTTCTGTGAGAGCCAATGGGCAGCGTCAAGCTTCTGATTACCCAACCTCCCGACCCCCCCCCCCCCTCTCTCCAACATCCCTCCCACTTCTTCTCTGTGCATGGCATGAGAATAACACTGCAGATCCCAGTGAATTGTTTTCGCTTTAATTTGTCGTGCGCTTCCTGGGCATCACCAATGGGACATCAGTTTGTTGGGCTGAAGCATGCCACAGTGCTAAAACCAGACAGATGTCCTTGATTTGCGTGTTGTGTTTATTATTATAGTTTGCACAGCTTCTGGCCATGGTGACACGTTTTATGGTTGCAACTATTCGAGCAATTGGGATGATTATTAAGGATCATGTTTTTTTCTGGTCGAAAGATTTCACGAGACAATGTTTTTTTGCCAAAATATGTGTTTGTGATCAGCTGCTTAATTGATGTTTGCTTGTTGGTTCCAAATGAGAGCTGGGAAATCCCCCAGAAATTGTTGAGCCAGCAATGTTAAGCCATGCTTTCCTGCATCGTGAGTGGTCTTCATTGCGCAGTGTATTGGTAGTGATCACGACGCTTTCTGATCAATCGCGATGCAGAACATGCACGGCTTGCATTCCGGCTGCGACAATTCCGTGCCCATTTAAAGGCTTACGAGACATCCTGGTTTAGGATCATAATTGGTTTAGACAACAACAACAACAAATTTGATACTGCATTGGCAGTGGTGCACAAATAACAAAAACTCAACACATCCGTCAATAACACTGCACTTAAAGGAAAATAAATATAAAGATTAAGTGATGTTTTGGGCAATCGTCCTTCTTCATCGATATGTTATCCTTCTAGCGCAGTGTTATTGAGAAATGTGTTAAAAATTTTCATAGGACTTTTTTTTCCAATAAAAATAATGACCTTTTTATTTATATGCCACCATGTGTAACATGGTATTCGCCGGTGGAATACATATTCTTTTAAAAGAATAAAGTAAAAATCAGATAAGAGCCCTGAGGCATTGCATTAAATGTCTGAGCAAAAAACAAACCACCTGTCACTTCAGATTTCAGACAATGGTTGCAGCCCTGAACAGTGTTACGACCACACTCACCCGCTGCTTTGTTGTACTGTTTCCCACAGCAGATGTGAGATCCGTGTGAGCGAGCGAGCGAGTACGCGTGTGCCTGTGTGTGCGCGTGTGTGCGCGCGTGTGCCTGTGTGTGCGCGTGTGCCTGTGTGTGCGCGCGTGTGCGCGTGTGTGCACCATTACGTTGTGCCTGTGAGAGTTCTTTCCAGTCAGTGCACGGCCTTTCTCGTACTAACAGAGGCATGTGTTACAAACACAGTCGCATAGGTAAGGTTTTGGCGTAGAACATCAATGTGATTTAGTCATTAATACTCCGTTATGCCCATTTTTATGTCTGATGTGCTTGGCTAACATCAGTTGTTTTGAACATAACCCCACATGCATATTTAACCCTATTTCAATTATCCTTCTTATTTTCAATGAAAAGGAAATTTATTTCAAGAAACAATCTTTGATTGAAAAACATTGCTACGTTTAGTGATATGTAAGAAGTTAAGCCCTTAGATGTTTAATGAATGTCATTGACATAATTTGGGCTCCACCTTTTCGGTCACACTATCTTCAGTCCTCAGATTTCTTCCCTTCCCAGTTGAGGTCTTGAATTTTTGATGAACACTCATAGTCGGGAGTAATATCGGTACACGTGCTTAAAGCAATAATTACATGTGAATTGGTAAGATTTGTAAAAGGGCATTCAAATAGGTAGGTCATCAGCGAGATACCCACGCACGTGGAATTTTTGTGTGGTGGAGACAGAGGGTAAGAGTGCCTATGCCCCTCTAACGGCCCTATTCACGGTGTCATACATAAAAATTCCCCGTGGCCCCTCGTGGTGGACTTTGCAGCAGAACATGTAGCATTTTTTGAAGTAGACAAAGAGCCATGCTTGAGATGAAATGGTACACCTTGTATGGAATGTCTGTTGCAACAAAATTGTCGCAACATGTTCCCTGTCACTCATGTTTTTTTTCTCTCAAATTCAGGAACGTAATTTTTTTTCAGCGATAGTGTTTATTTCTCATTCATATTTTCCTTGAAATTCCCACTGCTCTCAACTCCCCAACTAACCTTCCTTTCCCCGACATTGCTCTAACATTCTGCCATTATTCCTTGGAAAATGAAGGACTTTACAATTTAAAAGTACAAAACAAATAATAAACCACATATTTAATATTTCTTAAAACTGACATGTTATATATATATATAATGTTATACGTGAATAACCATCTATTTTGACAGGTTTTTCAGTCACCGTGGCTTATGGCTATGGGAACAAAAATATATTTTTTAAATGCCTCTTCATAACATACGTAACTTTAGCCAAAATAGAAACTTTATAATGATGCCCCGTAGGTGGAAAACCATTACATACAATTTAGACCTGACAGATTTTATGCTTTTGAGCTGCAGTGAAACCAGAACATTTTCTGAGAAAAATCACATGGGGCATCAGACTGAGACTGGCCCACTCAACTACTATAATTGCGACATGAATTGATTTGAGTAGCGCCGGGTGAGTGGGGGCACTTTCGGTATACACTATCCTCTGGAGAGCGGCCGATGAACAAACACAAATATTGCAAGGAGTGGCATTGCCTTGACACGCACGGCTGACATGAGCTCAAAATCAACATCAGCGGCTCCTCGCATGAGCAAGACAAACAAAATGCTTTACAGATAAAGTATTATCTACCAATGAACATGAATGACTGAAATTGGCTTGGCTTCAGCCCGAATAGTCTCATAATACATAGACACATGCATGATCTGCACTGGCGAATGTTTACAGATAAAAACATTGCTATAAACAACAACCACAACAACAACTGTGAGTCATTGTTTTCTTGACTTTTTTCTCGAAGTATTTTAAAATGAAGCCCTCTTTCATGCCCCAAGGAGACTTATGAATTTCAGTCAGATGTATTAATATAGGGAGCATTGGTGGTGTAGTGGTTCACCCACTGTGCCACGAACCCAGCAACCTGAGTATGACTCCCAGGCACAGCTAACATTGGTGGCGAGTAATATCTGAACAAGTGATGGGCCACTTCTTCACAAATCCATGACGAACAATTTTGTGAGGAGGCTTTCATCCAGCAGTGGATTGACAAAGGCCTGTAACTATACATATAGTTCCTGGGCCCCTCCCTTCTTCACAAACCAGTACCGACCAGTGTGGTGAAGTATAGTCAAACCCACAAAACCCAAAGGCTTGGTGAAGCCATCATATAGGAGAAGATTGGCAAAGGAATGATTATTGTATTAATGTGTATATATATTTAGTTTAAATATTAATGCCATCAATATATGATATGATTGTTCATCCTATCCTCCAATTTAACTTGCTTAAAGATGAGAGATTTGTTGTGATAGTCAATATATACTCAGCATGGGAGTGGAGCATTGAAGCTGTGGTGCGTTGGTTAGTACGCTGTACTATGAACCCAACTACCTGAGTTTGATTCCCGTTCTAAGCTAACGTTAGTGGTGAGTGATATTTGAACTGGTCTTGGGTCCCTCGCCTTCATTAACTCGCACTGATCAGCGTGGTGAAGTATGGTCAAACGACTCCACGTGCTGTCATCCAGCAGTGGATTAACAACATTATTGTGGCTGCGGAGTGGTCAATTAATTTGCAACGAAGCCGCTTATCGCGGAATCATGCCAGAGAGGACGTCCACTGAGGAAATGGAGCAATGAAATCAGCTTGTGTGTGGGTGTGCCTGGTGGATTATTCCATCGAGGGACTATGAGAGGTGGTGATGGCTTAACGATGCCTGCATCTAGCAATGGATTAATTATCACATGATGATGATGATGAAATACAAAATTAAAATAATTTGCTTTTATTATAAAAATAAATTCTCACTTAGCAATGTGGAATATATAGCTAATAGTCTGTGTCATTACCTACAGTGTGTAATAATAAATAATGTGCTAGCCGGTAACTAAAGTTATTATGTTTCTGTCAAGTCCTGACACGATTAAGATGCGATAGATATAGTGTAGCCGTGGCTGTATCAGTAATGTGTTCACATTTGCCAATAGTAGCATGAAGGTCACGAGCGGTGAACTCAATGAATTGTGATATTCTTTTTTTCCAGGTCCGTGTTCTGAGCAATAATAACTATACAATATATTTAACAATAATAATACTAAAGGTAATTGACAGCATTGTCAACCCACTGCTGGATGAACGGCTTTCACAAACTGTGTCGTCAATGGGGTTGTTTAACCATATTTCACCGCGTTAGACTTTGTGGGTTGGTGAAGGGAGGAGGGGGTGGGGGGGTCCCAAGATCATTTACAACATCGCTCGCCGCTGATGTTATTCGTGGTTAGGACTCGAACTCAGGTCACCGGTATCGTATTGCAGTGGGCTAACCACTACGGTACTGCTTCCTCAAATTTCCGAATAATTACACCAATTAAACATTATATTAGCTTGTAGAAATATAAGGTTCAACTTAAAGTGCTCGGAGGAATTATGGTCATATTTAGTGCCGAGTATGTAATGTATGGAATAAAATTGATTTAAAAATGAGCTCTAAAAATGTCAAATCAACTGCTATAGTTATTGGGTTAAGCTATGACCATCATTTAATTTCACAGGATGTAAGTTATATAATTAATTTCCCTACATAGCTTCTAAAAAAAGGCAAAAACCTGTTTCAGTGGCAGACATTTATAATTAATAATATAATAGGGATACTCTCATGTCAATGAAACAATGCTGGCAGGTGCTGGCACATATTGTTCTGTTACAGGAATTTGATAATTTGAATGCAAACAATAGTGTTACAATCCGAGCTTTTGGCTGGTTGTAAGGGAGACAGCGTCATTCTCCTCTGCGTGAGTACAAGGGAAAGCCAATTCCACTCTCTGATTTACGCTCTCCCCTATTACTCGTCAGTTAAAAGTGATTGTCTTCTCGAACAAGCATCGCTGCTGCCGATTCACATCGCCTGTTGGAAATGCCACATTCCTATGACAGGCACAGGTTTATCGTAAAAAAGAGGTACATGTTTGATTTGCCCCAACCAAGATTTTAACTGGCAACTTTCCGATTGCGAACTGCTAGCTCTGCCACTCAGCGTAGGTTTAAACTTATCTATGCATTATTATTTTGGATGTATTATCATGCTTGTGGGAAATTAATACTCATTGAGATCATTTTCAAACTATGGTGTTAGTTTGCACTAGGCAAAATAATTGCTGGGAAAATATTTTCCTTCCCATTTCATTCTTACTCTGCAAAAAAAATGCTTCTTATGAATGAAATGTGCAAGCCTTCTTTCTTCAAAACCCTTTGTCAATCTACTGCTGGATGAAGGCCTTCCGACGACACTGTGTTGGTCATGGGGATTGACCAAACTTCACCACACTGGTCAGTGCACATTGGTAAAGGAGGGATGGCTAGTACTGGTTCAAATACCACTCGTGACTGATGTTCGCTGTGGCTGGGAATTGAACTCAGGTCACCAGGTTCATTGCAAGTGTGAACCATTGTGCCACCACTCCATTCCTTGTCAGCTTAATAGTGCCTAAATGTACTGTATATAGTTTTCATAATACTTTAAATAGTTTAACTAAAACAAACATACCCTTTTTAGACATATACATCAATGACTTTGTGCATTCTAAATCTGTCGCCTCTGAATAAACCTAATTATCTTTCTTGGGTAAGTTTTAAACAGCACTAACGATGATAAATGTTTCCTATTTTTTTCTTTTTTCGCATCTAAAGTCTTCACAGTAGAAATTCCGCATTTTTGCAGTTTGGTGATGTGCATGTTAACTGCTCGTCAGTAACATTTGACCTTGTTGGGAGATGAGTTTTCTATGGCTTCATCGGGTACTTTAAATTTATTCTCCTTACTCTCAGAACAGAATTGTGCATTTCGAATCGAGCAATGTGAGACCAGGTAATATGCAAGTTCACATGAAGTCGTACCTATTCACAACATTGTGTATGCGGTGCATTTACTAATCAGGCGTTCGTTCCGTACACTGTGTGCACTCAATACATGTATACATACATATCGTAAAGCGAAACAAAAGCAGCGCTCATCAAATTTGGTGTTAATCTCGCGAAAATTACAGGGATCGCTATCGTGCCGTTGTGCTCATTTAAATTTCAGACATAAAAATGGGACTTCGACAACGAACCAAAAAAACTAAACGCGTTTGATTGCGGCTCAGGAAGCGTCATTTGCAAGGCCACCAACGGACGATGCCTGTGCAAGCACCGCCACCCCATCACGCAGACTGCCCCACGCGCGTCGCTCTCCCCTTGTCGCCCAGGTGACCATATCCGTCGACGGGATCCTCACGTCCACCGGCTACACGCAGGAGGACTACACCATGCTGGGCTCCGATGATTTCTTCTACGTGGGCGGCAGCCCCAACACGGCCGACCTTCCCGGATCGCCCATCAGCAACAATTTCATGGGCTGCCTGAAGGAGGTAGGGCCTAACGAGTCGGCCTCCCGCTGCCACCCCGACCCCTTGCTGCCAGGGGCTTTGTCGAGGCGCGGCGGATGGTCCAAAATTGTGGCCGTTGAAAAAAAAAGAACACGTCCAATCAATTGAAAATTACACGTTATGTAATGCAATTAATTCCTACGGTGGAAGGGGGGTACTTTTTTTCAAAGCAAGCTTGTTCAAATTTAATGCTGCATGATGGTTGAATTGATGTCCTTTTGATTGTAAGTTTGAGGTGTTGCCTGCGATGCAATTGAAAAGCTGTTTTAATTTAATCACAATTGTTCAGACTGTATTTATATGCTAATTTGCATGTTTGTCAAGCATTAAATCACTTTAATTCAAGTACTTTGTCCAGGGGATTTCGCCTTAATTTGATCTCTTGTTATAAGTGAGCACAGATTTGTACCATATATTTTGTTTACGTTTTTTAAATGAATTTCTTCAGCAATTTCAATGTGATAATTTTAAAATAAATGTAAATCATCAAATAAATGACACTTGTAATATCAAAGCAAAAAATATCCATTACTTTATATGTTTTTTTCTTGTTTTGTATACATTAAGTAGATAGAAATATGTAACTGAAAGTTTTGATTTCAATCCCAGCATAAAATATGTGATGTGTAAAAGGTTGTTTTTTCCCCTCTCCCTCTAATGAGATGCAGGGTCTTTTCACTGACTGATTGAAAATTATGGCAGCTAATTTACTGCGAACACACTCTATTCTCCCGTGCCATTTCCGACCTTCAGGGTAGTCTTCTATAGATTAAGATAAACGGCTGGGAATTTGAAAAACCAAAGGCAATTTTTTTACCTCCAGATTTGTAACTCAACGGAATGGGCTGGTGCGATCAATCTCTGTCCCAGAGAAGAACCGGTATGCATTCAACTCGGTTAGTCCTGTGTCTTGCCAATACTGCACGATTCTTAACGGCAACACAGCGCCGAGTATTTAGAATGCTGATAAAACTTGGCATATAAAGGTCATTCTTTGTCTACTTTTATGCTGCTGAAAATGACATGATTAACATTTTCTGTTCAGCCACAGTGGCAAGAATTTAATTAAAAAAACACTTCACATTATTGCTTATTGTTATACTGCACTATATGCAATACCGTTGTTATAAAGCATTGATATGTCACCCTTACGAGATTGAAGTGCTGTGTAGCCTGCAGTTAGTAGCAATTACCTGTGGTAGTTCTTGTGGGGGAAAAAACAATGCAGCCAAAACATATCAATACAACAGGCACTGGTAATTCGGTCAATTATCTATCCTTCAAAAGGTTTGAACACCTGATGAGCTCTGAGTAAGCTTCACCATAAGTCTGTGTCCATTTCAATCATGTTAATGATAAATTGCGTGAGCATGTCTTTACCAAAATATTGGTCCTGATCTCTAATATTTCCACCTCTCGACCAAAGCAACCTCACTTTGTCAAAGTTGCATTAATTGATTTCCAAAGCAAAGTCAATATCTGTTAATTAAACTTTGCCACGGTGCGTGTAATTTATATCAGTGGCAAACCATAAATAATGATTCATCAAGACTTTTAAAGAGATGAAATATGATGTGTTTTATTGATTTCATTGTTTTTATTTTCCAATTTTCTCAGCGTGAACCTTGCCTTCGTAACCGAAATCTATTATATTATTGCCTATCGCAAAAAAATAGCAATGGGGAAAAATAAAGAAACAGTAAGACAAATACCTCCCCCGTTAAACCCACGTCTTTTTCGGTGTAGGGATAAAGTATAAACTTTCATGTCACAAATGTCATTGATCTTCCCAGTTATCACTTATATAAGTAAATAGCCTGTCACAGAAGTTATTGCATTTTTAGATAATCTGTTGTCCTGAAATCAATTTGCTTTTTGCTTGGACATTGAGTAATGGGATTTTTTTAAACTAAAGAATATTCACTTTAATGGCTTGTTTCCCTGAACTTTTTTTTATGAGATAACTGTTTAATTGTATGTATATATTATAAATTCAATCAAAAAAACAATTTCAGTCTTAGTGAACCATACTTCACCACGCTGGTCAATATGAGTTGGTGAAAGGAGGGGGCTGGGGGGGTGTGGGTGAAGGACGCTCGGCAGGACAGCTTTAGAGATCTCAATATATCTCTCTCTTTGTTTACAGGAAAGAAATGTTGATTTGCTAACAATATAAATATTCATCTTCTTGGTTCTTTCGGTAAAGTCACGTAGAAGGGAAGTAATAAAATAATAAAAATAAAACATGATAAAACAATTCTCACGACGTTTCGGCCACAACGCAAGCAGCCGTCCTCAGGTGAAAACCAGGTCCGTCGAGGCGACAGAGTCTGAATGAAAGAGCACACGAGCTTGGAGCATATGATATGCAAATTCCTTTGTCAATGCGCCCAGCTTATATATATGCTCCAAGCTCGTGTGCTCTTTCATTCAGACTCTGTCGCCTCGACGGACCTGGTTTTCACCTGAGGACGGCTGCTTGCGTTGTGGCCGAAACGTCGTGAGAATTGTTTTATTATGTTTTATTTTTATTATTTTATGACTTCCCTTCTACGTGACTTTACCGAAAGAACCAAGAAGATGAATCCCTGCAGTCACGAAAGCTTTAAATCGAAATATAAATATTGCATGGTATTTTTGTAGTTTTAAAATGTAAGGCACAGACATATACACGATGGCAGGCAAAAAATAAACAGACATTTGCATTTGCAAAATCATAATGTACATGTACACATCGAATTATTAAATAATATTCATAATGTTGATATTTTTTACGTCCTTAATTTTTTTACTAAATACTGTGCAGTTTAGCAAAATTAATTTTTCCATTACTTTTGTGATGTCAGTAGCAGTTTATTTTGGTATTTTTGTGTGTATGTGGAGTCAAATTTACATTCTTGTCAATATGGATGGTAATCCCTTAGGGTCTGCACCTTTGTTTATTGACGTTCTACTACCTTGGCTGCTATTTGCAATAGCAACTGAATGGTAACGACATCATTGTAAAAGGTAATGGTGCAGCCCTGCAATAGCTTGCTCATGCCATTGCTGCTGAAAGTTCCTACACTAAAGGAAGTTCTAGAGAGCCCTTCTAGGAGGTGTTTTGGCCTGCTCTTCCATACTGGCCAGATGTCTTGGAAGTGGTGTGAGTACCCACGATTTGCTCTACCATATGCGACCTGATTATTGACTGAATTTGGGTGTACCCATTTATAGGGCGCGGCAGTGGTGAGATGTGAACTATCTCGCCTCGTATACAGGAGAGCGTGGGGTTATATCCCGACCCATGGCGCCTGTATATTTGTAGTTTGCTTGTTATTCAACGTGGTCACGTGGATTTTTCTCGGGTCCTCTGCCTTTTCCCTCCACATTTAGAAACATACGTTTAGAGTATCGACTGCTATAAATGTCCACGTGATAAGCCACTTCGTTGAGCTATTATTTGTGGCCAGGTTGCTTCTGAAAAAGAGCTACATAACTCAGTGGACCTGACCTGGTAAAATACAGTAGTACTACTGCTGGGTAGATGGAGGCCAGGGGGGCATTCAACAAACCATTGTTTCAATTGCCACGCCACGAGATTGAATCGAACCAATGACCTCTCAAGTACACATCCAGTGTGCAAACATCATACCACAACAGCGTCCTACGTGGCATTATACTTCATATTTTTTACCCGTAAAGTCACAGGCAGTGCATAGTTTTTGAAAGCCATTTTACAAACGTTCAGATTGTGTTAATCCATGCAACGTAACATGCCAATTCTATAGCTCAATGACCGATATTACTTAGCTTCACTGTGAACATCCACGGGCAACATGGGATGTTAAAAGTCGCCCTGTAAAGCCGGTGGCTGTTTGTAAATGTACTCACACAGGAGCACGATGTAATTCCGTGTCAGAGCAATATGAATTCTCAGCTGTCTGTTTTCACAAAGATGAATACTCAGCCTTGCATGATGTTCGAAATCGTAGGCCAGAACCCAGGTTTTGTACATCCCAATTGCAAAGAACCTAAATTGAAAATTGATTTTCCTGCCAGTGCTTAATATTAACACTTGCCCAAGAGGCACACTCCATATTTGAAAACGCATGCATGGAAGGACTTGCTAAATTTATTCGCACTGCAATGCATTTCTTGAGATAATTTCTAAGTATATAAAATGGACGATATGTGACTTATTGCTCAGGAGTAGATTTTATACTGAAGGCCATCATTGTCGTCTAAAGGGTTTTAACTCTTTTGATGTTATATCCTAAAGAATGCCAACGTGTTAAGACTTCCTAAGCTGGCCTATAGGCACTGTGTTTTAAAGTTAGAGGGAGCGGAAACTTGATATTGCCAAGCAACAACGCATTCCCTTATACAATGCTGGTGGGCAGCCCATCCTATGGATGGGGAGACATGACAGTCATATGACACTCAAAACACATTCCTGTGGAGGGAGCTGGTAGAAACGTTGGGTTGCTCGGTCAATGGCCAGGGTCAACGGCGGCGTGGTGTATTCCGCAAATATGGCCGACTGTGAGGGTGGGCACAAGAAGGGCATAGGTTAAACGTTGAGTTTAATAAGGGCACCACGGGGTGACCAGCCCCTCCCCATCCAGCCCCACCCCTCCCACCCCCCACCCTCCCCACCCAGCCCCTCCCCACCTTCCCCTCTCCACCCAGCCCCACCCCTTCCATTTTTGGATGCACGACGGACGGACGGACACAATAATCCCCTGTGGGCTGGTGGAACCAGGTGGTTCCTACCAGTATAACCCTCCTCTGACATTCACGGCTCATTTGACATTCACCACTCACCAGTCATAAACTCACCTGACCCGTGCCGCTCACCATTTAATGTACAGACGTACAGTGTAGTGGGAAACCCATTGAAATGGTGCGTGTCTATCCATCGTATGATTTCACAATATTGCAAATGGTAGCGTGGATAAGAATTGACAGGGACGATAAGCCAAATCGTTGTGTCAAAGGTCAATATTTTTTTTGTAATTTCCACCTTGTTCACATAAACTACATGTCATAAGCTTTCATATCACTTCTCATTTATTGAACTTGGTTCAGCGGGCGAGGAGGTTTTTTCCACACACACACATACCCACATACAGATTAGCTGCCTTTTGTATGGATTTAAAAGCCGATTCTTGTAGGTGGCCAGGTGGCTCAAGGTCAGAGCATCGATCCGGCATCACTGGGTCCTGGATTCAAATCTGGGCAGGCACCTGTGATTAAACCAGGTTTTCAAGTATAGTGAGTTGACAGTTTCAGCTCTGTCACCAATGACTGCACAAAAATAATTACATACAGTTTTTTTTACTTGATTTGGCAAAATTCCAGATGTGAGAATTAAAGTTATCCGTTTGGCTGCAATAAACAATCTCAATTCGCGGATTGTGTGGCACAGTGCAACTGCTCCTGTGTAAAGGATGCAAAGGCCATTTGAATAATTTTGTGTGAGAATTTCCTGAAAAAAATCTCCACAGTTTGTGCCGGCACATGCGACGATACACTTTTCTCTGATGAGAGTTCAAAATGGATTCTTCATATCATGCGATGATGCCAAATGCATTTGGGGAAAATTTGTAAATATCATAAAATTTTGGGAAGTGAATGCTGCTGTGGTGCAATGGTTGGACACATTGAGCTTGTAATCCAGAGCTCGCCAGTTACATTTGATGTCCCGGCATGGCTTGTGAAAAATTGGAAAGGTTTCTTAAATCCTCCTGCCTCTGTCCACCCAGAAGTATAAACTGGTACATCACATATTCTTGGTTCTTTCCGTAAAGTCACATAGAAGGGAAATAATAAAATAATAACAAAACAATATATAATAAAATTCTCACGACGTTTCATCTGAGGACGGCTGCTTGTGTTGTGGCGGAAACGTCGTGAGAACTTTATTATATTATGTTTTATTATTATTTTATTATTTCCCTTCTACGTGACTTTACCGAAAGAACCAAAAATATGAATCCCTACAGTCACGAAAGCTTTAAATCGAAATTTGGTACATCACAGTTAGTCAACCGACATACCGAGTGTCGTAGGCTAAACTGTGCACTCCCACCTCTGCCAAGATGTTTGGCCAGCATAGAAGAGTAGGCCAAATACCCTCGAGAGAGAGAGAGATGTCTCGAGACCGCTCTCAGGTGGAGGCCATTCTGTCTGCAGGAGAGTGAGCAAGCAATTGCAGGGTTGCACTTTTATTAAAAAAATATTTTTTTTTCAGGACATTCTGAATGTTAAGTTTGAAGTTTAGTTGGATTTGTTACACGGATGATTCCACTTAGCCAGTTGCCCAGCTATTTTACAGAAGAGATCCTTGGTTACATGAGCACAGCAACAACAAAATAAAAAGCGCCAAAATTGCAGAGAACTAATACAGGGTCCTAAAGAAATATTGCATAAATGATTTGTAGTTACATTCAGAATGTGTTCATCCTCATGCTTTGAGCATCACAAATCTCATCAGAGTTCGCTTGAACATCCGATGCTATATTATTTAACATTAAAACAATCAATTGATATTAATAACACCATTATCACCGACAGTCAGTGCATATTAAATGAGGCACTTTAAGGAAAATAAAATACCTTTAGCACTTTCTTATCGACAAACAAATTGCAGCTGACATTACAATGTTCCGCGTCTCTAGAACGAAACGACAGTGGACTGAGAAAAGGTTGAATCTTGACAAATTAAAACCAAAAAATTGCACCTACAATTAATTTGTATTCATCATTCTTCAAGGCAATTTAGGCCCGAGTATATATATAAAAAAAAATCTGTAATTTTTTTTAACAAAAACGAGACGGCCAAACTAATGCTTTGAAAATGGTGCCATCTGCATGCTCATTAGTTGTAGATTGATGGATGCGATGATTAATTCGGCTTACTCAGTAGTTGAAGGCAGGAGTTCAAATTAGAGAGCTTAATTTCTCCCGTGGAACATTGCATGGACTCCCTTCGAATTCAAAATTAGGTCCTAATCTTTGGGCTTTCTGTTAAAATATCAAAGGTGATTTTTTTTAAATCCACGAATAAGTTGGTATTCAAGCTTATTAAGACATACGGTTACGTATTGATACTGTGAACGAGCAAACGATATGCTTGTCTAAGTGGTTCCTAATCTTTTGTATTGTACGCATTTTAAGCTAATGTTCGATCTGTTTAGCAGATTTTCCGAAATTCATTTAAGGTGTGCTATCAGCATCATGTCATGAGAGAAAAAATATCCATTCGGAACTCTCGCATAGAGCAGCAACCCATGTAAGGGAATGGTCAGTGGAATCATGTGCTACAGATCCCTTCAATTTACTACACCCCATTCAAAAGATGTTCATCTCATGGCAATTCAACTTGTTTTTCATTCGCAGAGCTGCAATGTGGCCAAATTAAATGAAACCCCATATTTGTTGTGATGGATTTTTTTCACTTTTCTCTCTATCCATTGGTAACTAACTGGGCTGACACTATAAACTCGCGACACTTCATAACCCAGTTTAATAACGGGCGGCCGAAACCCATTTTGAAACCCAGTGGTACCAACTAAGTTCTCTGACCCCGGAGCCATCCTTCACCTAATAGAATTCATGGATTTAATTTTAGGAAAACGTATATTGTGACTGGACGTGTGTCTGTTGTGTAATTTGTGGGTAGCAGTGACGTCGTCGTAGCTGGCCAGCTCTGATAAAAACCCCGCGCCTTGAGTTCGATTTCTAGCCACGGCTTATATCAGTGGCAAGTGATGTTAGCCGTGGTGATTAGATGTTAACTACCTTACCTGGTATGCAGAGGGTCGTCGTTGGTTCGATCCTGACCCTGACGCCTGTTGAATATTTAGAGTTTGCATTTTCTCCGCGTGGGCTTTTCTGCGGGTCCTCTGGTTTTTCCCTCCACATTTAGAATCATCATACGTTTAGAGTATTTGGATGATATACATTTCCACTAGATAATCCACTTCTTTGAGCTATCATTTGTGGCCAGGTTGCGTCTGAAAAAGAGCTATATAGCTCAGTGGGCCTTACCTGGTAAAATAAAAAATAGTTTTTTTTTCAGTGATATCAGAACCACTCCTGGACCTCTCCAAGCCTAAAATGAGTACCTCGTGTGGTGTGCCAACAGTACTGGGGAGACATGTGGTCACGTGTGATATGTTGACCACATGCCCCCCTCATGCGCTGTTCCAGCCTTAATCTTTGTCTTTCTTTGTATGATTAAATCAGCAACTTTACAAAAGTTTAGTTTTATATTGCAGTGGACCACCACTGAAAATGATTCGCTAAACCTACAGCTTAGCAAGTAAAACGAGGAAAAAGAAGGCATCATCGTAGCCCTGTAGTGTTAAGGGGAGGGGCTGAACCCTCTACTGAAGGTTTCAAAAATTGTATTGTCAATTAAGCAATGGGAATCGTAGCCTTTCCTCGTTCACAATGCAAGCGACAGGCTAAGCAGATTGCACGATAGACACAATGCAGATTGTATTGTATCATTGGTCATTCTGTCCAACGTTGAACGTTTGTTTACAGAGCGCTCAACTTTTAACTGCATTGTGCACTCCCCCCAGAAGTATTGCAATCCCTGGCACTCCACTTTGAAACAAGGTAGCACTGCAGGGTTGCATCATCAGCGACATCAATCGTAATCCACCACCACCAGAAACACACTTCATTTGGCCCATCATCGTGTTTGATTTTTCCCTATCGGGATGTGAGAGTTATTGAGGCAAACTGCCAGTTGGCAGTTTGCCTCAATAACTTTGATTCGTGTCTAACATGAGAATGTTTTTGACAGCAGGATGTGAGACAGTGAACTTCGGTTGGCAGTTTGCAAAATATATTTGGTCGTGTGTTTTATGTACCCCCCCCCCCACCACTACCACCTCAGGTTATCTACAAAAATAGCGACCAAAAGCTGGAGCTCTCTAAATTGGCCAAGGAAGGCGAACCGAAAATGAAAGTTGTCGGGGAGATCTCCTTCACCTGCGAGAATGTCGCCGCTCTGGACCCCATTACCTTTGAGGCACCCGAGGCTTTCATCACGCTGCCAAAGTGGAAGACCAAACGCACGGGCTCCATCTCGTTTGACTTCCGCACCACGGAGCCCAGCGGCCTCATCATCTTCACCCAGGGCAAAGTGAGCGAAGTGAAGGATAGCAAGGGTCTGCGGAGTAGGAAAGGCGACTTTTTTGCCATCGAACTTTTCGATGGCCACCTCTTCCTTCTGCTGGACATGGGCTCGGGCACCATCAAGCTCAAGGCGACGGAGAGCAACGTCAACGACGGAGAATGGTACCACGTTGACTTCCAGCGAGACGGCAGGACAGGTGAGGCCCGTTCGCTATTCAGCGTTTCGCGGCTGTCCGAACGAATTACGCTCGTCACAAGGTAGGTTTGTAATCTATGTCATCATCATCATTATTTTTTTCTCTGGGTCCTCTAGTTTTTCCCTCCACATTTTTAATCAAGGTGCGTCCAGATTATTTAGATTATTTTGCTGATATAAACGCTTTCCATTTCTTGGCTGCCACTCCCTTATTATTCTTGACCATTGTTTATCATCCCTTCTTTTGTGGTCCCACCTAAGACCACTTCATTTTCTTCATCTTAGAATGATGGCATTGACTTGCTGCCCAACGTATTGCAAAATAACCCAGTGACCCATTATTGTTACATTTTGGTTAATTTACATTTTGTGGGTATACAAGTGCATGTAAAGTCCTTGTGTTGGATGCGGGCCTCGACACATCATGAGGGCCTCGACGCATCATGTAGGCTTGCGGGGGTTATTTGACTTCACCACGTTGGTCAGTGGGGGTTAATGAAGGGAGCGGGGGGCATGGAAGTGGAGCACAACAATACTTGTTGCTGCCATGCCCCATGCTTCCCACCACAGTAGCAGCAGTAGCAGCAGTAGCAGCTGTTTATAGCAAACTGCATGCGCCTGCTGGCCAATCCATCCAAGCGCCATCCAGAGTCAACCCTGGCTAGCTTTCTAGATCGGTTGCATTGACCTTGAAATCGGTTGCATTGACCCCCTGAGGATAGTGAACTACAGTAAAACCTTGGATTGCGAGCATAATTCGTTCCGGAAACGTGTTTGTAATCCAAAGCACTCGTATATCAAAGCACTCGTATACCAGTTGTGATCACGTGATGCTCGGCAGACAAAGCATATACGTACTACTCGTATTGCAAGACCTCGCTCGTTTATCAAATTAATATTTAGTTAAAAACATTTCTCATCTTGCAAAACACTCGCAGACCAAGTTACTCGCAATCCAAGGTTTTACTGTACTTATATTTTTAAACAGCCTGGATCTTTTGGACTTTTAAAATGAGCTGGTTGAAAGAATTTTTAATTTGTTAAAAAATAAATAAACATGACATTGTGGTAGAATCCCCAATATCAGATGCTGGCTTCGTGTCTCATGATGTCAGTGGTGAGTGATATCTGAACCGACCCTGTGGGCCTCCAATTCTTTCATCAACCCGTACCGACCAGCATGGTGTAGTATGATCAATCACCTCCCCCCCCCACGACCGACATGTTCCACTGAGGCCTAAATCCAATAGTGGATTGATAAAGCACTGTCAATTACTTATTGGTACCGTTAAATACATCTCAAGTCAGCTTGGGCAGGACACGTTGTTGAAAGAGACGATGGTCGATGGTCAATAATAACAATTATAGCAGAGGCCAAGGAATAGGAATGCATCCAAGAGGACATCCACCACCGACGGATTGCAGTGATTGAATCAGTCCGTGTGCAGGTGCTGGATTGTTTTATAACATGATCTTGAGAGATGACAGCAGCTTTGGGGGGTGGGGGGGGGTGGGAGCCTTCATCCAGCAGTGGATTGACCTTGGCTGTGAATGAAGATGAAATCCCATTGCGGTATGAATCCACATGGTGTTGCAGTGACTGTATTATTTCCAGCATAGCTCTTCTTAAGTAAGCACCGCTGTCCATTATCGAGTTTTGTTGTTGTTGTTTGGGTTAGATCGCGTAAATATAAATGCGTCAATAAACCCACCTGATGAGGCTGGTTGTCATCACCGGCAAAACATCGTGCTGGAATTGTAAATGTTGTGGGTTTACTCTCCAACAAACCGGTGTGCTGAACTCGTAATTAATAAGCATGTTTTTTTTTTAACGTGACAAACATTACTAATTGGTTGTCGGGTGGTGCCGAGTTTAACGGCGAAATTTATATTCACGCGATCTAACCCCAAAATAAAAATCTCTATTGCTGATAACATTGGTCGTGAAAGCCGTCGTGTTTAGTGCCATTGTGTTGTTGTCTACTGCTGCTGCCTTTGTTGCTGCTTCTGCCGCCACTTTAGGCAGCATCTCCGTGAACAGCCAGCGCAGTCCGTTCACCGCCGGCGGAGACAACGAGATCCTCGACCTGGACAGCGAGGTGTTCTTGGGCGGGCTTCCCGAAGACAAGGCGGACCTCCTCCTCCCGACCGAGCTGTGGTCGGCGCTGCTCAACATCGGCTACGTCGGGTGCGTGCGCGACCTCTTCATCGACGGGCAGAGCAAGGACGTCCGCCAGCTTGCCGAGCAGCAGAACGCCGCCGGCGTCAAGCCCTTCTGCGCCAAGGACTCGCCGAAGCAGTGCAGCTCCAACCCGTGCCGGAACCACGGCGTGTGCCGCGAGGGCTGGAACCGCTACGTCTGCGACTGCACAGCCACCGGCTACACGGGGCGCTCCTGCGAGAGAGGTGGGCGACCGGCACGGCAGCGGCAATCTCGGCTTGACGAGCCGTCGGCGTTGGGGGGGGAAAGCGGCTCTGCCCGCAAAGTGAGAGGCTCGCTTCGGCTGCCGTGGGTTCTTTTTTTCTTTTTTTCTTTTTTTCCAGCTGGATAATCCGTTGCAAGCTGGAAGCTTTGATAACCCGTCGCCCGCTTTTTTGCGGCATGACAACCTTGCAGTTGCTACCACTGCTGCTGCTGCAGCCGCTGTTGTCGATGCTGCCATATCGAAAGCTCAAAAGGGGAAGCGACTTACGCATGCAAACATCATTAATGGCAGTGTTTGCTTATTTGCTATTTTAATTAACAGCAAAACATATGCGTGCCTAATTTAAAACGCTCTATTTTATGTTATTTAAAATGTGTCGTGTTCCCCAAGGAGGTGCGGTTAAAACGCAGAAATCTCCTCTGTGCTGATCTCGTGTATTTAAATCGCTTAACATTTTGGAGAAAAGCACATTTAAAACTTTGTTTTTAATTGTCAAGAGTTTCAGTAAATACACTATCACAACAACGGCAGTAATCCCAATTGCCATAAAAAATGGAATTCCATCTTTACAGCAAAAAAATATAAGTATTAAGAAATGTTGACACGTAATTATTGATAAGCAGTATTTTCTGCAATTGCTTTTCACATGGCTATTTAAAAATTTCCATTAGTTCTTAATGAGATAAATTGGAATAATCGGCCCCCATCTTCATTGTGTTCACTATGAGGGTGTTCATTTAAAATGAACTATTTCAACCTTATATAGGTTTTATAGTCTTCAGCAGCAAAATCATGATCATTGTCATGAATCATGCTCAATCTCCTGGCGAATGAAGAACTCTCCACAATGTTGCCATCCCTAACGGTCCTTAAATACCATAATCCATTTCACTTCTGCACATGAACTGTTCGCATCACTTCATCGAGGGACCGGACGACAACCTTATTATTGCATCTCATTTTATATTTATAGAGCGCCTTAGCTCAAGGCGCTTTACACAGTTTATAAAAGCAGTAACGAAAAAAATATTGAGTTATTTAGATGGCAGGGGCGTTCAAGGGCCGAGGAATGAGTGACCACAACAGAGGGCACCTAAGGGGGTCACGACAGGGTAGGGGAAGGGACTGGAAGGAGTGGAGGGTTGCTTGACTTTACAAAAATAATCTGTAAAGCTTGGCACCGCACAAGGCTGCTGGGAGCATCAATGACGCTGGCATACAAACCTCCCCACGTCAGCCCTGACGACATTGCCGGACAACTACTGAGCCATTGACGAGCACCGATTGACAAAAACACAGGATGGCGAGTTTTTCAAGAGGCACTACTGCACTCGCGACCGCTGCCAAAAAATATCCACATTTTATGGTCCTTTCTCAATGGGGGGAGTAGATGCTGGTATTTCCCAGATGAAACTTGCTAAAGCTGCATGCCTCGATGAGATGTATGCGGAATTCACCAAGAACTTGAGACGACGAGCGAGAAAATGCCCGGCCACTTTCCCCACCGACATCCACTCCTCAGGCGTGGTACCAAAGGAGTGCCAAGAGGCTACAATTGTAATGCTTTTTTTAACCCAGAAAGGACGCATAGGATGCTAAAAACTACCACCAGATTTCCGTCAGCGTTTGTTACAACGCTAATGGAGTGTCTCCTGCTCCAAAGGCTAAAGCCTACACTTGAAGATATATTGTCCTCAATAAACAAGCTGATTTAAAAACCGGCCAAAATTGCTTTGATCAGGTGCTTGCTTTAACAAGTCACATTGAGGGTGGCTTTGAATGTCAGCTCAAAACAGCAATGGCGTTCATCGATCTCTCCTCGGAATCTGATACTGTATGGTGGAAGGGTCTCCTGTTGAATCTTGCAACAACTGTGCCTTGCCGCCCGACAGTCAGACTCATCATAAAAATGCTGAACTACCGATGGTTCACCGCCCACCTTTGTGAAACTACCAGAAGCCCACGAAGATTGAACAATGGATTCCCGCAGGGTTCTGTTCTTGCCCTGTTGTTCCATCTCTACACCGTTGACATTCTAAACAAAAACTAAACTATTTTTTATTTTACCAAGTCAGGCTTACTGAGCTATATAGCTCTTGTTTCCACGAAGTGGCTTATCATGTGGAAACTTGTAGCAGCCAAATGCTCTCAACGCACATTTCCAAAATGATGGAGAAAAATCCACACGACCACCACAGGGTCGGGATCCAACTCACGACCTCCTGTATACCAGGCGAGGTAGTTAACATCTCGCCACCGTGGCATCCTAGCGACATCCTCCTGCAAGTTCACATGAAGGAGTATGAACTTCAAGAATTGGAGCTTTAAGCCAAATGCCTCCAAGAGTGACGTCTTCATCTTCCACGTGAGCAACAGCCAAGTCGCACAAAACACTAAATGTCGACTTCTGCGGTACACCGCTAACAAACAACCACCACCCCCGCTACGCAGGGGTTACCCTCGAGCAGACGCTCACCTACCGCCACCACGTCGAACAAGCCAAGAGGAAAACAAACAAAAAACCACGAGTGAAGAGTCTTCAGACAACTTGTGCGAACGTGGGGAAGCGACGGCCGCACTTTCAGGATATCGATGCAGTGCTGCGCTCCAGTAGGGGAATGGCAGCGCTCGCACAAACCTTGTCGATACCGATATCAATGGGACACTTCGTATCACCAGCAGCACCCTGAAGGCCACCTCTGTGGCTCTCTGTGCTGGTGAACATGGCCCTAGCCTACATCAGATGCGGTTCTGCGATGATCCAGGGGTAGCACAAGATTATAGACGTCACTCTACTGCTCCAACAAAGACCTCAAACAAATTCTAGATTCTAGATTTGAAGCTTTCGTGACTGCAAGGTTTCATACTCTTAGGTTTTTTTCGGTAAAGTCACGTAGGTAAAAAATTAAAATAAATAATACAAATAATAGAAATAATAATAGAAATAAAATAATAATTCACGACGTTTCGGAGGCAAAAAAATCCCAAGAGTATGGACCTCAAACAAAACCCATGCGCTTAAGCTGAAATCCAGGAAAACTTTCTGGATGCGCGCCTCCACTCTAGCATCTGAACAATGAAGACATCGGCACTGGCTGAATCGTGGGCAGCTATGAACGTGGCAAACGAGAAAACCTCATGGAGGACCCGACTGTGGAAGAACCGGGGTTCCCTCTTCCCTCTTCCACCACGACCTTGCTTAACAGCGCTCGAATGTAACATGGGAGATGACGCACACCATCTCATAAATTTTTAGATCAGAGAATCGCTGAGCTGTGACTGTGGTGAAGTCCAAACGATCAGACACATCGCCAACGAATGTACCATCCGTGCAATATCCTGGCAGTAGACGCTGCAATCCATGCAGCGTCTACTGCCTCCTTTGATTGATTGAAAAAAACCTAGCATTCAATGATAACGTTTCAAAACTGTTGTTTTTCCCTCCTGCCGTACGAATGCGGCGATCATTATCTCAGTAATATTCTTCTTCTATATAAACCAATATTTTTACATGTAAAATCGTAAATGTAATCTAATCTTGACCATGCCAGCTACAGCATAAGTAATACAAAACTTTTTAAATATTTTTATATACTTCCAGCTTTCTCGGCCTGCATCCATTTATGTTTGGTTCCTTCTGTACAGATTGGATTTATAAAATGTCTAAATACAACTGAATACGTAGAAAGTGTCTCAATACAACCGAATGCTAATATGTACAGACCAGTCCATATACGGCTCCTTGCAGAAGAGACCAGAACAGTCCATATTTATTTCGTAGATGTGCAGTCACACGCTAAGGTTAACAAAAGGCCTTGAGCCTGCACATGAACAAAAGCCACGGAGTCAACAGCGCGGATGGTTGGGGGAAGGGAATTCCAGACCACGAGAGAAAATTACTGCAGTGAGTAGAGTTAAACAGCTTACATTTTTGGACCCATACTTGAATAGATAAAACGTAGTGTTTTTTTTATTAATGGCACAGGTGTTTTTTTAAATTAATGGCACAGGTGTTTTGTATACAAGATTGTAATTACAGTGGTCGGTACGTTTCCTTCATATATCCGTCTCTGCACATGAGAAATACAAGTATTTCTTGCACAACCCATCGGCCGCATGACGTTCTGGAAGTGCATCATATCAGCGGAATTTATTCCATCCAAGAAAACTCTGAACCGGTTTCACCACACAGTGCCTCCTCAGGTGAGAGTCAGTCTTGCTTGAATCATTGCTGGCCTGAAATATGTGCAGGTCACCAGCACTTGGCCAACCTCTTCTTAACGCGATCGAACCCAAAAAAAATACCTGTATTATGGATGATATTGGTCGCGAAAGTCTACCACGTGTTAAACTGACTACCCTCTTCTTTGCTACTCTTCTCTGCTGGAAGAGATGGGAGTACCCATAACTCAACCTCAACACACGTCACCTGCCAATTGACAAAGTGTGGCGTCCACATTGCACTGCTGGATGGACAGAGGTTGGGGAAAGGGGGGGAGGAGGACATTTAAGAAACTTACCCCACTGATTCAACTGCCGCATCGGGAGATCGAATGTGTGTAGGCATGCATGTTTGAACTTCTTTCGCACCATACGTAGCCAACCGTGCTAATCGGAGGTGCGGGGGAAAAGCAACAAACTAAAGCAGTTCGAAATAAATGAGTTTCCAATTTAGAATTTAACCGACAAATCTCCGGATTGCAAGAACAGCGTGCAAATTGTGCTAAACACCACTGCAGCACATTCATGTATTAAACACGCACGAAATAGAACGTCGACATTTTAGTAAACAGTTTCACACGTGTGCATATTTCTTCGTATTTTTTCTTAGCCATGGCTCACTTTCACTTTGGGCTCAGCTCACGATGCTTAGGGGAAAAAAAAGACCTCCCCAAACATTTAACGTTTAGTCGGTGCATTCTATTGTCTTGTGAAATATACGGTGCCCATAAAATATCTATAAAGTACAGTATTTGTAGC